CATACATACATAAATACATGCGTACATGCATACGTACATACACACACACACATATATATATATATGGATACATATGTATGTAGTTATGCATATACACACCTACATATACATTTACACACACATATATAGATATAGATATAGATATAGATATAGATATAGATATAGATATAGATATAGATATAGATATAGATACAGATATAGATATAGAATACTTTATTATATAGCCTGACTTGCCTTGCGGGCAAATCCAAACACGGACCTGAATATCCCTGATATTCCCGCGGGGTGCTTGCGCAGCAGCTGTCAACGGGAGAAGGCCCGTGGCCCGGGGCTTCGGCTTTTGTAGGTCTGGGATATGACGAGGTTTCAGCGATGCATCGAGGTCCACCAAGACTGGGACAGGCTGGCCTCCAGGAAAGTCTGCGAAGCCATACCTTAACTTGCCGGCAAAAATGCCGGCTGAATGTGAGCGTCATGCTCGGCGGTCTCAGACCATCTTTTGAGGGCAAGGAAAACCAAAACCCCACGCCCAGGAAGCAAATCAGAAACCCCAAATCTTCAAGCGTTTTCGCCAGGTTGCCGTAGAGCATTGACCAAGCCTCTGTGTAGTCATTGCACCATGCCTTCCGCATGGTCAGCTCCAATCAACTCACTTCAAGGTGCAGGGGCTTCTTTTCCGCTGTCAAGAGGAGACCTGACTCTGACAAACTCGCCCTAGGAATGCTGTGTTGGGGCTGTGACTCTGGATCCGGCACATCATTTGTCCGCGCCTGTCCACCAGCTTCTGCCAGCGTCTCCAGCAGTATCTGCCCGAAGATCTCAAAGTGCCACGCTTGCCTCAGAGCTAGGCACACGTGCGGCTTTGATCTTCGTGTAACTGTCGAACCGTGCATTGCAAGCATATTGCAAAGACTTCGGAGAACGTGTCGACTCTCAACCATTCCACGACTGAAGTTCAACAAGTTGACAGCTGGTGTGCCGTCACGGTGCAAATCGAACTTGCAGTGCATGACGGAAATCTTTTCCAGTTCCGTCCTCGTCTCAATGGAGCTTAAGACTTTTTGTGGAGGAGTTCTCCATGCATGGGCCACTGTGAGACTTGCAACTTCATGCGATCACGTAGCGCTTAGCCTCAGTCAGCTTTATGCAACTCTTTGCAGCGGGGACCGATTTTTTGTTTTAAGGCGAGCCTGAACTGAGAGAGTTTGCTTGCTGGGCACAAGACAGCTACAGTAGAAAGAGTAAAGAGATCAATCAGGACCACATCGAGTCCAGCTGCCTGTCAGGTCGCATGCAACGCGGGAGCTGAGGAATCCGAGTGGCTCAATGAGGGAGCTGTCGTGCACACAATCCACCAGCAGCTGGAGAGCTTTGGCAAAGACCAAAGCAAGAGCTTCCTTGCATCAGCATGGATGTCTGAGTGTCCCAAACTGTGACAGTGCACTGCAGCTCACGGCTGTGGAAATTTGGAGGGCAGGTCCACATGTGAAGACTTCAGTGTCCGTCACTCGTATTGAGAAGGCTTTGCTTGGCCCTGTTTTGCCTTGACTGCGCCCAGTGCAGCACGTCTACAAAATAACAATTGCACAGCGTCCGCGTTTGCGGAGCAGTGAGGTGGGCGGTTTTGCGGAACTATTCAGCAGAAGGATTGGCGCTGCATGCAGCCAGGGTGGGTGCGAACAGCTCTAACCGATGCGCCTGGCACAGAACCAACGACTACTGCACAACTATGCACCGAGGATGCAGGAAGCAAGTCTGCGGCCTGGTTTCAACTTCTCGCAATAAGCCTTAGCCTGCTACCGTTCAGCTTCTGTGGTGATCTACGCCGCGCTGGCCTAAAGCAACCTCGGCAAGGGGCAGCTTTCACACCGCTCCTGAAAAATCGTTTAAAATCTAGCGCGTGCATATAACCTAAGCCTGAAGTCAGGCAGTTCAGAGTGTTGAGCATGCGAGGCCTGATCCTCCACCAAGGAGCATCGAATTATTGCTCGCAGGCTTCAGGCGTGCTGGTTCATGACTGGGAGCCCGAACTCAGACGCTGCAGCAGCATGCCGCCGCTCGTGCTTCCGCCGGCGCTTGTCACTCCCATCACAGAGGTGACAGAACAAGCATGTTTTGCCACTGGCACAACCCTTGTTGTGGAAGAAAGCGCATGGCTTACATTCACCTGTGGCATGGCCGCCGGAGCCAACACTGGGAAGCGCTGCAGATCCCAGGATCACCTGCGGTCTTGTAACGACGAGACTCATGTGAGGTTCCCAGGCTTCAAGGACAAGGCAACCCTAAGCCCTAAACACCAAAAGACTTGAGAGAAGGCCTTGGGCTTCGACACGCTCGGGCTGGCTGTGCTCAGCAAGAGACCCTTCTGGTTCGGTGACTCGCAAGTCCCAGGCAGGCTTTGGAATTGCTGGCTCCAAGCCCACATCGATGGCTGGCTGGGGAGCATTTGGCTTTGCACCCCTTGCATGGCGTACGTTCTGCTTGGGGGTGCGGCGAAATAGGTGGTGCTTGGGGCTGGAACAGTGGCCACGGGCTTTGGCTGGAACATCTTTGCACTACTGGACAGCCGCGTCCTGGCGGCGGCCTGATCTGTCTGATCGATCTGCTCTTTCCCCTGATTTTGCACATGTGGCTCGCTGAGAGGAGACTTCGGAGAGACTGGGGTCTGCACGGTTTGTGCATTGTCCTCCACATGGGCCTCTCTGTGGCTTTCCAACACCGGGCAGGAGCTCACCCTCCGCAGGCCACGGATCTGCTCCGCCAGAGACGGAGCATCCTCCAAGTCGAGAAAAGTATTGCCTCCAGGGAACGTGGGGTTTTTGACAGGGCTGCGTGGTGGTCTGGTCGGGGAAGGCACAGACTCCGGATTGTTGACCAGAAACACCTTTTACACAAGAAGCCATACCAACCACGTGTGCGGCCATGTTGCGAATGTTCAGGTGCCCGCTTAGCTCCCCCTCCCCAAGACTGTGGCCCTTGGTGTCCGCCAAGCTGCAGCTCATGCTAGCAGCACGCGGCCCAAGATCCCGATTTCCAAACTGCCCTGCATAAAATGTCTGCGGATAGTCGCGAGATGCTGGCGAGTGCTGCTTGTGCTCCCGGTACTCATCAGCAAGACCGTCAAGCACAACACAAGCACTAATCAAGCACACTGTAAGTATTGGAGGACCGGCAATACTAGAAGATGCTGTGCTTATGGACGAGTACGGCTAAGCCGGCGGCAAAGCAGGACCAGCTGCAAGAGGATCTGTCGTGCAGCAACTGGACCCGAACCCCAGCAACCTGTACGGCACCCTTTCAATTACCAGAACGAAAAAAGCGCAGCTGTGGCACGTCGCGTCTCTTGAACATGCTGCGAAAAACCATCACGCGTTCCAACCTGGCACTAGCCCAACACACGCTGGACTTCCCATGATCATGTGTGCTCACTACATGCTGCGGCAGCCTTCGGGCCGTGTGCTGACCCAGGCTAGGTTTGATAGTGCAATGTGCAAGCTCGGCCCGTTACTCGTCACTCTCTGCGGGGCCCCAGAGAAACTGTAAGGCACGCTCCAGCCCGAATATCCACGTGCAGAGCATCGTCGAGCCATTCCCCACCGCCAATCCAAGACAAAATTCGAGCTCCCAAGAACGTCCGAGTTGCAGGGTGTTGTGAAAGGTCCTTGCCACTTTTACCTCGGTGTTGTGAAACCAATCTCTGCAGCTATCGTATGCCATCGTCATGGCTATATTGCGGTGACATGCATCTTGGGCAGGTTTTGGCTTTGGAAAGCTTGGTCTAACGCAAGTTTCCCTGCGAAGGGTTCGGAGGAGGCTCCTCCAGTAGATGTTGGAATGGCAAATGGGAGATCGCTGTTTTGGAAAAGCACGGTTTGCAGGCTTCACCGTCCCGCACAATGTCTGACAACCTACACAGACTTATGTTAAGGTCGTAGGTTAGAAGCAGTTAGAGTTTTGATGGTGGAGCAGCCTGGGACGTCATTAGACAGATAGATCGCATAGACACCGCTACATGTCGGTATACACCAAAATTGGTGAGTTCCAGTCACTGGGGAATCTGCACGCTGCGAAATGACCTCCCACGAGGCCGTCAGTGATGTCTGCATGGTCTCCCAGTTCACGAGCCTTGGGAGAAGTCATGTGCACATGGCATCAGACTAACTGTGCCCAAAGCACGCGGGGCTATATATAGTATTTGTAGGATATGTACAGAAAAAACTAAAACTCTTTCATACTGCTGTTCGCCAGCATGTAGGGTAATTAAGACAGCACGATGCAACGAAAGTATATTCGTATACTTGAAGGCACGACACATGACCTGGCTATGCCTCTCAATGTCTGACACGCCGAGCCAGACGGCGTGATGCAGACAAGCGGCACTTGCACGAAGGTTCCTGCAATTACTGGGTTGCTGCCGGGGCCAAGGAGGGTCAATGCAAAGTGTCAGTCCGCGGATTGCGCACAAATTGACTGTCTTGCGCCAATCATACTCGGACAGAAGATCTAGTTCGGAGTATCGGCCCAGGCACTCTCTACGATGTCCCATAGCCACTTCCAGGCAAGCTGGGCGCTTTCGAAGGCAGTTGCAGGAAGGTTTGCTGCCAGTAGGTCGAAGAGACAAGATTCCTGAGCCGGATCTCTCCAAAGGCCGAAGTTGCATGAGCCCGCACATCGACTGTTTCCATCCCGGTCTCGACAAGCAAAACTAAGATGGCGAAGTCTGCTGAGTGCAAGGCGAAGACTTTGAGGTGCGCAGGCTTCACTCCCAACTCGACGTGACCTTTTCTGTCTACTGGTGTCTCGGCACTTCAATCACTTCCTCCGCGCACTGGAGTAGACAAGCTGTTGGATTTTGTTTAACACTGCTTTGCAACCTCCCTCTGCATGCCAGTGGAGCTGCAGAACTGCTGAGAGACACGGTTCCTTCCATTGATCAGGATCCCAAATGACTGTTTCGGCTCGGTGATCTCACCGGAGCACACATGCAAAACGCAGATTGATTGAACTCCCAGAATCTGAGGGGTCGTGCGATGCCGGGACACCAAGATATGGAAGTGCTGTCAACTCATTCATATGCTTGATGATATAAATCCGGCACTACCCATAATAAGTTCCCATAGTCTAGGATCCTTGAGGTAATGCAGGCTTTATATCATAAACCGTAGTTAAGTTTTGTGTACCAGGCCAGTCATGTGGACCTCCTTAATATCCTTCCTTCACCTCCGCTCATGCTACTGTAAGAGCCTTAATAATTAGAATAGGG